TTGAGTTCTGAGTTTAAAGTAAAACATTTTGACATATTTCATTATTATATTATTATTTTACTCTAAATTAAGAACTCACATTTTTCACAGTAAGGCTGTAATCTGAAAAAAATATCTGTAAAATGTAAGAAATTAGGTTGATTTCTAATTCTGAAGTGACTAACCCAAAAAAACAATGATTCTTATATTCAGGTGATAGACACTAATGAACATACCTATGGATATTATATTCCATTTTTGCCAATAGACCCTTCTAAAGGCTACACACTGGACCTTTAAGAAAGACATTTTGTTTTTGTACTTGTGAAGTTTGACTTGTATTAACATTCCACTGTTGCAGTTTGATGGACGCTGCATGTATTGTGTCATTTTCTGTTAGTATAAAGTGGTTAGGTATGTTGATTTTCCAGAATACTGACTGCTAAAACCATATACTATTAGTAAGTAGTATACAGTGTAGAATTAGTACATTGTACTGAACTGGAACCAAGCCTAATAATCTACATATAGGCTACGCTAGCAGCTCTGTGAGACTATGCCATAGACTGTATATAAAGATGGATGATGTGTCACCATTTCCTCTCACTGTACAAAAATGAAGCTCAAAAATCCCAGACATGAGGGCTGCCATCTTGCCCTGATGACATTATTTGAAACCTGCACCCGAGTCTGCACAGGAGTGATTGGGGTTAGAGCTGCGGTGTTGAGGTCCTGCCTATACACCCAGTTGACTCAAAAATGAGCTCAGCTATCAATGTGAAACCCCCTTGTACTTAGGCACAACAGTGCTTTGAGCTAAATGCTAACATGCTCTTAATGACAATGCTCACATACTGCTGTTAAGCAGGTGTAATGTTTACAATGATCACCATCATAGTTTAGCATGTTAGCATGCCAACATTTGTATAATAGCATTAAACACATAGTAGCTGAGGGTGATGATAATCATTAGTTTTGCACATATTTAGTCATAAACCAGAGTAAAGGATGAATTTAAAATATGATTTAGTTGGATGGATTGCCACAAAACCCCAAATTTTACCCTGCTGGTGTTGCTGGAGGAATATCCTCTGGGAAACATAAATGTCTGTACAAAAATTTCCCGACAATGCATCCAATAGTTATTAAGATATTTCAGTCAAGACCAAAGCGGTGGGCCTACAGGCCGACATTGCTGAGAGTCTCACGCTGCTAGTATGTCTAAAAGACAAAAGCTGCATCCAAAAAGTATTTATACTAAACATGTAGGTTGTCATCAGCAGCTTTTTCTGTTGATGTGCCTGTGGTGTATTGGACCTGTACACTGATAAGTGTGTAACTGACATTCTCACAGCTCTTGGTGTGTTTTTTTTTTTTTTTGTGTGTGTGTGTGTGTGTGTGTGTTGTGTGTGTGTTGTGTGGTTGGTGTTGGTGGTGTGTGTGTGTGTATCTTTGCCTGACCTGATCAAAATGTCAAATTCAACCTCTTCTTTCCTAGTTTCTACGCCCGTCTGTCACATCTGATCTCAGTTTAGGCCACTGGATCAAACCAAAGCCACAGACAGACTGTTCAGCAGCTTCAAACTGCCGAAACTGTTGACTCATTTAATGATATTTGTGTAGGATTATCTGATAGCCTATCTAACGGTAGAAAATGTTTGTTTCTTTTGCATTTTCATAGTTATTCATAATTATAATCAAAAAGAGTTTATTTTGATCAAAAAATACATCTATGTTCTAGTCCTTTTCCAGTTTTAAGACAAATAATTGTGAATATGTTCAAATCAAGGGAGGTTTTTACTGTTAGAAAGTACAGCCACCAATATTTACCTTTGAGTTTATCCTATTTTCAGCTTAAAACTGTACAAATTACTGACTGATGACATATTAATAACATGTGTTCCAAAAAAGCATTTAAGATTTAAGAGGTTTATTTAACCCTTCACTTCATAGTCCTCTACACTTAAACTGACCTTATCTTACCTCTGCAGAGAAAATCTTTTTTCACCACCCATTGCATGTGTTTGTATATATACTATGACCTTATCTAACCTTGATAAAAGGTCGTGAACTTTCAGTGCGAGTGGTTTTTATCTTTGCTGATCCCCATCCACACCCCAGCCCCCGCGTCATGGTCTGAACTAGTTGAAATGATGAGCACCAACAGATACTTAAGAACAAGGATATAGAAGCCTACTGCACACACACACACACTCAAAAATTAGCTCAAACGTGTGTGAAACCCATTGAAGACATGGTACAAACATCTGCACAGACTAAACTTTTCATGAGCTAACGGCTCTATTTAATAAAGGTTTTTTTTTTTTTAAACACTGTGGCTCTCAAAATCAAGACAACTGCACCCAGTACTACAGTTCCCATAATTTGGGAGGTTTTGGGGGATGTAAACAGGAAGTACAGTGTTGCCTTGAGTGAATGAGTCAGCTTTGGGCTCCAACTTGAACTATTATTTAGCCAATATTTGTTGCAGACTAGCACCAATAAAATTGCTCTGAACTAACTGTTAGCAGTTAGCTCAAACATATATAGGCTAATTGTCTAAAATTTTGCCTCGACTCCCATTGTATTTGTCCAAATTTAAAATGTACAGTTGGTAGTAGTAGTAGTAGTTTACCTGAAAGGGCAAAGTGTGAATTTAAAAGTGTGAGCACACCCACAATTGTATTTATTTTTTGTGTTAATCATATGTGAGATGTGTTCTTGCACTTTGAATTCTGTGCAGTTTGGTTTCACACCAACAGAGTTGTAAATATACAGTTTTTACAATACGGTTGTACTTGCCGTCATTATCACTGTGCAGCCTTGTTGACAACAAAAGTTTTTTCCTGTGGTTAAGAGCTGAAATAGTTAATATGAACATCAGTGGAAACTACAGCTGCACTTCATTCAACACTGCTATCATAAGGGGAGCCACACGTCCTGACTAATGGAAGAAATGACTGTCACATGCAAAAGATGAATCAAGTAAATTTGTGTCAATTACTCACATGACATAAATATCACGTATAATATAGATAACCAATTTTCAGTTCACACCACAGTTTTGAACTATTCTCACCAGTCCAGTCAAAACAAACAAAATGTTCTTTGCAGAAACGTGAACTGTAGTTTCGTTGTTCTCCTTCAAACATACCAACAACAGACAGCTTCCTCGGTTTGAGATGTTTTATTGGTGTATTGTCATCATTTCTTACAATCAGGATTCACTTCTGCTAAACTTTACACGGCAAGCTCTGAAATCAAAAACGAGAAGCATGCTGAGCTTTATAGGCAGACAAATATATCTCCCCTCCTCTTTCTCTCTCTCTCTCCCTGACTCTCTCCATCTTGCTCTCTTTCACACACGCTCTTTCCTGTTCTCTCTTTGTCCCTCTCTCTCTAGTTCCCACGGTCTGCCTTTCTTCCTTTTTTCTTGCACTCTCGATCTCTTCTCTGTCTTTTTTCAGGCTTCTACCTTTGAGATTTGGTGATAACACAACAATGTCTTAAAAAGAACACAGACAAGCTCTTAAATCTCAGACTCTAATGATCTGAAGGCTAGTGGCCAGGTCGTTCTGTCCTAGAAGGGTCACTTGCACTGCAGTCCACCAAATGTTGTAACTGTACAGAGCCTGATCTCCATCAGTATTGTTTGTCCTCATGTCTTCCCTTCCTTTCTGCCTCAGGTCATGTTCACATTAATGCACATTAGGTCTGGTGTGTTGTCCATGTGGGAGTGCTAAAACAAAAACAGCTAAATTACTGGACTTGTTCAAGTCTGATAAACAAGTTCACCATTTCAAGGTGACTTGTATTGTTTACAAGAAGTCTCTCGAATAGATCACCTGACCAAAAAAATGGGTAGTGGTGGGTGATGAGAAGTGAGCTTGTGACTGGAAGAGTGTCAGTTTAATCGATTGATTGAACATTACCACCACTGTGGTGCCCCTGAGCAAGGCCCTTAAGCCCAACGGCTCCAGTGGAGCTGCTCCGTGGCCAGTGGATCAGACTGCGGTTGTACTGGGCGGCTTCCAGGTGTGAATATGTAACTGTGTGAATGTGATCATGGCGTTCCCGCTCTCAGTAAAACTCCTCTGAATAAATAAAAGGTGAAAAAAATGTGTCATTATTGGTTAGGATGTTTTCTGTGCTTTATGTGGATAGTAAAGGTTAAAATCTGCATGGTCTCAGTGACCACTGAAGCCAAAATGTGGTGTGCTGCTTCATACATTTTCTCTCACTCTGTTGAAAGGATTAACTGTGCTGCAGACAGAGCATCGATCTACACAAAACGCAAAAAAAAACAACCTTGATGTCATTCTTTTGATCCTGGAAACCAGTTTTTTGTCAGACAGAAAATTCGGTTCATCTCAGGACAAACATAAAATCACTATTCCTAGGAGGGGAAAAATGTGTTTGGGAAAAGTAAATCTCACAGGAATGATTCGTGTTCTCACTGATAACCACATTTCGAAAATTTAACAATGTGGCTTTACACCCTGAGGGTCATGAAACTCACTCAACCCATAAATTATGACCTGTTAATAGTTTATAAACACTGCAGTGTTACACAGCAGTCACACTCAGCCAGAAATTTAATGATCAACGCTTTATTGATCAACCATGAAACCTATAGTCCCAGTTCTTCACATAAAATCAATTCAGTTATTTTTTTTCTGTGAAGAACATTAAATGAAAGCTATGCTATATGAGGGTGTATATGAAAATACTTAAAATTATATTTGTTTTAATGTTGCTTGGTTAAGTGCATTAACTGTCCTTGGAGGAAGCTGATGGACAAAAAAAATCTGCAATTGCCAAACATTCACTAGTTCCAACTTCTATGCTGTGAGGGTTTTCTGCTTTTATTTGTCTCCTGTGATAGCAAACATCTTTTGAGTTTTGGACTGTTGGCCAAACAAATCAATACATCTGATCACGTCAAGTTGTGCTTTCTGATGGTAAACTTCAATATATTCATACATTCAATTAACAAATGATTAATGGACAATGAACATAATTGTTAGTTGCAGCCCTCAATTTTGTGACAGTTATTAACAGACAGGTCATTGGTGTGTGTTCCTGTATGCCACAGACACATGAAGTACTGCTAGTCATCAATGTGCTGAGTGTATTTCATGGCCTTACATTATAAAATGAAAACAAGACGATTTAACAGAATTGCAAGTTAACGTTTTTTTTTTAAGTTGATATAATTACTTTGATTATTGACATACAGGAAATGTGCTTTATCTACACAGACAAAGAGGAAGAACAAATTCATTCAGTCATTCAGGCCAAAGGGCGCTTCACTGGTGTTTATGCAGAATTTTCATTAGTGTTATTTGAAGGTCAAAAAATGTACCTGTGTAAATAAAGTAAAAAAAGACTAATGATTAGCTTTAAACCACACAACTTGACAGAGAAATTAGGCTTTGTGATAGAACAATAGAAGAACACCTGTAAGCTCACACCGTTGTTATTCAAGATTTGCCAGATCAGATGTCAAATCATATTTGCTGCAGGGTAAAATTACATTTATGCATTCATTTTTGTCTTTTTTTTTTTTTTTAGAACTTTTTAAACTGTCCTTGCGGTCAAAGTTGGCAACATTGTCTAATCGTTTTACCAAGAACCTAAATTACAAAGAAAAAAATCTTTTATTCATTGTAGGTTGTAAAGAACAATATTGTTTCACTATGTATAAAAGTAGAAGAAATACAACTATGGTACAGTCTGTCAAATTACAATGCATGCCTGTAAATTACTGAAAGTATTAATAATTCAGTGTTTTAAAATATTTCCTTTTTAAAATATGTATTACCGTCTGCAGAGATAATTGAAGTACTTTGTGAAAGCCGACACTGGCACTTTCTACAGTTTTTCTCAGCTCACCTCTATGTGAAATATAAATTAAGTTGTGTTACTGTAAATATAAAATACTCAGGACTCCAGAGGGTAAGTCATCTTTGTGTGTTCATAACCAGCTGGCATTTCAACATCAGCATGACTTCACTCTGGGTGTGGAAATTTTGCTCCAAAACAGCCCACAAGCCGGAAAGACAGTTTGGAAAGCCAGAAAACCTCAGCACCTGGACAATTAACAATGCTATCAACCTCCTGCAGGTGTTTTATGGTCATCTGGTGCAATGCGACAATATAAATCTTACTTACTGCCTTTTTTAAAACCTCTTGAATTTGTTCTTCCTTTCAACATTTGAGCAAATTATTCCCTGAGGCAACTCCACAGCACAATTTTTTTTTGCCAAGAACCAGCAGCTGCAAACCACGACGAACAGGCACCACCTCTTCTGTCGCTGCCTGTGGTCACCGCTCACCAGCTTCCCCATCTTATGATGATGATGTCATGACCCCAAAACTGACTCAGCAACATCTGAACTGGAACAGAACAAGAGAAAAACATTGTTAGGAAGACCACCGAAAACATGGGGAATGACCGTAAATGTAGGAAAATAACATACAGAATATAAAAACGTATGGTGACACATTGCATTAATTGGTGCTCAGGTAGTAGAGGGCATCATTAAGTGCATTATAGGCCTTCTGTGAGCAAATTAAAAATAACAGGCTGGAACGGCACACAATGCAACACAATAAACTATCAGCTTTTATTGCCCACAAATAAAAAAAATTGCATTTTGCAGACCTGCAGAGAAGGAAAGACATTTCAACTCCCTAAAGACAACCTAGACTTCAATTTATCAAGGTTCCTCAGATTGTCCACGTTTTATAATCAGGTATTATAACAGCCAGTAATAGTATATAAACAGTGCAGGGTGCATATTGTTAATGACATTAAGCAATTACTTGTTGGAGGTAATGCTATAATGGCTACTGGCACCAACGACTCATAACAAGCAGATGTATCAAAATCTGGAGTGGTTTATCAATTTTACACATTTTCCCTCAGTTCCCTTCTGGTAACACTTGGGATTGTTCTTCTTTGAATGACTGAAGCTCTTAACTGGTATTTGAGGTTTGATGAGCTGTGGTTGACATAGTTATTTCTATCAAACATGTTGTACTGTCTTTCTTATGATGTTTTTTTCAGACTGACAATTTAGACAAAACATAAAATGAAGAAACAAGCTAAAACATTAATTTGTGCTTAGAGTGACAAAAGAGTTCAGATTAATTTAGGAATTATAAAATCATATTATAAATTAGTAAATAAAAGTGAATAATATTCCTTCTTAAACTCCATTATTTACTAAACTATGCCTTACCAACCTACCAGCATTGTTTTTCTGGTACAAACAAGTATCAAACTATATATCTGTAATAATAATATCAATAATATATCAGTCTTAACTGTCCCTTTAGCACATCGTGTTGTCATGTGTCCCCTGTGAAGTCCTCAAGTTTTAGGAGACTTTAACTTTATCTAATTATAGTAAAAACGCACTTTCATAATTACTGCCTTTACAAACATAAATGCACGTCTAGACAAAAAGCAACTTGGCAAATGTAAATATGTGATTTCTTTACTACAACACTCTCTTTTAATAAACATCTGTGTACAACGTCCAGCGTCATTGTAGCTTCCTGCTTTAATTCCAGACTTTCTGGATCAGTCTGTTGACATGACACACACACGCACACTACAAGGCTCATCGACGAAAACAAAGGAAATGTCGGGCTATGATTTTGACTAAAAATACACACTAAGTAACAATCCAGAGATGATCTTCCAGCTCTTATTAAACCAGAATTTTATTTCTTTTTCCTTCAACATTTTGGTAACAGACGGAGGCTCAGCTATAACAGAAATTATGTTTAGGCTCAAAAGTAAAAAAAAAACAAAAAAACAACAACAACTAGTCCTTTTTCCAAACTACCATGTTATACTGTTATAGTGTGGCATTCTTCATTGATCAATATGCACTTTATCTCTGCATATTTATTATGCGAACTATTGCATAGTTCCTAGGGGAACTCAGTTTATTTTACAGGGAACAAAAAACTGTAAATGAGCCAAAGAGTAAAATAATATGCAGTTGCATATATTTACATGTTTAAACAGTGTCCGTGGCTCCGAGCCAGAGCTAAAATAAAACAGTTGATTGACAACAACAAATAGACAGACCTTAAATAGACCTTAAAATGTACCTAGCATGCAGAGAAAAGCTCCATTTAGTTTTCTGTAGTGAGTAAAAATCAGTGTTTAAAAACCTGGCAGCTTTATCCTGACCATTCAGTCTCACTATTAAGCCCCTGTATCTGAGGCTACATGCTCAGCCTCTTTGTAGCACATTAAACTTTATCTATCAGTCTAAATGTATAAAAAGAAATGCACAGAAGCAACACAATCCCTGGCCTTACATGACCTCTACAGCACAGACGTGAATGTATGAGTGAGAGCGTTTGCCTCTGTCACCTGTACAGATACTGTACACTCTCTGCAGAGGAAATGGATGACATAACATCAACACACAGTCTGCACCACAGACTTGTGTATTGATAGAACAACTGCGCAAAACAATGGTGCAGGCACATTTGAGTTTAATGGTTTTAATCTTCCTCATTTTCATTGTTAGAACATCAAAAAGGCAGAGCCCCTTCTGTTAGCCGATTAGCAACCACAGGAGTTATTGTATATATCTGTAAATATACAGCAGAGCCTGAAGAAAATGCAAATGTTCTGTCATGCCAAATCTTTATCTTTATTTAGTTTTTAATAAATTGTTTTTCATCTATTCACTTTGGACTTGCTAAACTAAACTTCAAATAAAACATCAGGGGAAATTCCTTAAAACCGTAGCTTAAATAAACATGATTTACAACGTCTAATAATTGGGGTCACTTTGATTTGACCACGCTTTGTTTAGTCATGATGCACCCCGTCTGCAACTTTAAAGCGTTGCCTCCCTGGTAGAATAAAAGCACACGCACACTTTTGGCTTTACAACAGACAATAGGACCTTCTCCCCACAGCTTTGTGCATCACTGGAAAAGATGAGGCAGAAAGCAGTTTGCAGACATTTACACTTAAGGCTTTATAGCAGATGATGTTTAGGAAAGCTTACACGGACTGTACTGTGAAACAACAAAAGTGAGATGCTTTGATTGTCAGTGACACGGCATATATGTTTTCTTTTTGCATTAATCTGGTGACAGAATATCCCCCTCATCATGTGTGGTGTTTATTTTATTATAAACAGTCCTTTTAAATCAACTAAAGATATATAGAAGCACTGTACAGTATGTACTCTCCTGCAAAGGCTACAGTGTTTTAAATGCATATTTTATTGTTGTGGTTAGCACAACATGTTTAATTATGTTAACCGTCTTCCTTCTTTCTTTCTTTCTTTCTTTCTTTTCTTTCTTATTTCATTTATGATTTGGTATATAAAGTATATAAATATTGTTATTCCAGTCTGTTAAAGTGCGCTGCTAAATGTTGTTCTAATCAAGTAATCTTTGTAATTTATTGTTTCATGTTTTCTCAAATAGTAATACAATCTAAGATCATTTTGTTATATCTGTTTTTAATAGCACTGATTTGCCTTCTTTGAAGATTCATTTATTTTACAAAAATGACTTGATAAGATGATTATACACGCATAAATGTTAGCTGTTGTTTGTGGTAGACACAATTAAAATCTCCAGAAACAGAGCTATCTTATGTAAATGCATGTTATACATACACCCACCCATCTTTATTAAGACAAATCTCTCTAGTTATCTACTAACCGACAGGCTCTTCTGAGGATGAATTTCTCAAGGTCCCATAGGTGGACGCTATGATTAAAGACCTCAAAGAAGAACAGAAAAGATAAATTACAGTCTTCCATTTATAACCCAGTCTCCTTCCTCGCCCCGTAGCCATTACACCGACCGTAGGCCGGACAAATTTCTCAGCTTTGGTGACGCTGTTAATCATTCTGTTAAGAGCTGAGGAGATAAATTAGTCTGTTGGCCTTTTTAAGTGGAGTACCACTTAGTTTCAGACTCAGTATATAGCTGTGAAAAGATGTTTCAATTCCACTCTGAGTGGCTTACTGGCTTTCTGTCAATTTCAGTACAAGTATCAGATATTACAGTCAACAACCGTGTCTCTGAACTAAGTCAGATTCTCAGGACATGAAAATAGATCAATTCCAAAATACCACCACTGATTTTTAATAAATACAAATGCCCCAAAGCTCAAACTGTTTTGAAGAGAAACACTTGGAGCAGCATTTGAGTTGGCCCATAACCACAATCAGCTTCTCTTTAAAAGTAAACAACTGTATGACCGTCTTTACACAGCAGGGATTAAGTATGGGTGCCCATTCACTCCAGTGATCTTTTTCACTCAGGACAAAGACATATAACTATGATGAATAATTTACTGAAGGGACAGGATTAACCAGTCTGATAGATGACTCAGTGCTTTGTCTTCCCTGCCTGCTGCATTTAGCTCTCTCTCAGGGCAGCTTTAAACTACATTTATTGAAAAGGAAGTGACAGGATGCTTTAAAAGCTTGCAAACACTTATGTTTAAATATTTAAAAGCAACATCTCAGCTTTGACTGACCTTCATGTAGAAGTGGATTCAAAAAGAGAAATTAGTTTTAAAAAAAAACTATTAATGGAAAATGTAGATGTCCCGATAGGTCTTAATATGCCAGAGCATAATTTCTCTACGGTTTAAGTTTTAAACAAGACAAAAACGAGTTGACAGATGTGTGAAATTTGTAAACCCTTAAGTAAAGTGACCAACCAAAAGTATTCCCATTAAATTGTTACAAATTATAATTTTAAAGATGCTGTTGCACATACTGTAACAGTATTGTGCAATTTATATTTTTCAGTGCTGCATTTTCATTGGCAAAATGAAAAGAAACCCAGGAATAAAACCCTCTTGTTATTCCAGTTTGGGAGAATTGATGCATGAGGCGGTGACAATATTTAGAATAAAGCTTTGTAAAACGGCAAATACTATACAGTAAAGCCCAGATCCTTGCTACTAACTGATAAAAGGTAACCTAGCAACATAAATCTATCTGTTAGCTAATTAGCCATTTCAATCTCCAGGATTATTACATATTTCTGCAACCACAGCTTTTATCTGACGCTCACTTACTCTATGCAGCAAGCAAGCGTGAATACAAATTGTAATTAGGTTGAAGATCAGGGGTCACGCCATGGGTCAGTGGGACGTCTATTCATTACTGGTGAAAGGGGATTAACCAGTTTGATGTATGAGGGTGTGTTTTATCTTGTCGTTCATTTTGATGAAGTGGAAACCTGCATCAGCGTGAAGGTCTAAGAGTACTTAACACCAGCTGTATGTATTGGCTGGAGATCAAGGGTGAAGACGAAAGACTAGCGCAGCGGATAAGTCATCGTCCTGACAATCCTCTTTTTCACAGTACAGTATCCAATTTATAAAG